ATTACCCACATGAATAAATTAATGCAAAGGATTATGCACATACTAAAGAGAGTTCAAGCGAAAAGATATTATATCAAGAGATATAGCTTTTGTCTTTGAACATGTCTTAATAAAATACTGTTGAACATGTCGTTGAACAAGGCCTCCTACCTACATGTAAACCTGCTCCTGCACACTAGGACAAATTGTTAGCCATGTGTGACTTTCTCCTATGGTGGTGGAGTTGGTCACGCATACTCCAACGGTCAAGTTAGTTGTAGTAATATGTATTTGAGTGTGAGATGTGTTTTAGACGTGATCCTCTTCTATAAAAACGGGTTTGGCTTTGGGGAAATATGCTATAAGAAGGAGAGTAAAGTTGTAGTTTGAGAGTCTAAACTTACATTATCTTTAAAATGACACATTATGTGAGCTTTTATAATAAAATAGAATGGATACTTATCGTTGGACGAAAGTATATGTGGTTTCATCTATGCGGTTGAGGCTTCTTATCAAAAGTATCAATCAATCATAGACATTTAATGCTAATACCATTTTGCTGTCCAAGAGTTCAACACAAGACTTAGACCTGACTTGTTGGCTGAATAGGGTGGCGGCAGCAGTGAATTGTAGCATCAATCATTTAAAGTTCATATCATTTTGCTGCCCAAAAGTTCAACACAAGACTTAGACATGGCCTGTTGGTTGAATAGGGAGGTGTCGTAGTGAATTGTCACATCAATCACTTATTGAAGATTGCCTAAAAGATCTCCTGCTAAGCCCCTTGCAGTCTCGCTCTGTCCATGAGGGTTTGATTCTCCACATGGGGTCAACTTCAACAAATGGGTTCGGGCTCCCATAGAAATTCGGCCTATTCATGGGTGATGGGAGTGTGGCTAAAACTACCTCTTGGACAGAATGACGTGAAGTGCGGGTCTAAATTCGCTTGCCACGTATGAGTTTTTGGAGACTTGCTAGAAAGTGTTGGAAACAATAAAGAATAGGACAGAACTTATATCTCAACGAACTTACAAAACAGAATAATATCACTGCAACATATAGATAACAAAATTAACATAAACGATACTGACTTGAATTTCAGATTGAGACTAGCACAACGCTATGTTCTATAGCAGAAATTCGCCCCTACTCCTGTGCTTGTAGT